CTTCCTTGACTGTGTCATACTGCTTTTCCTACAGTCTGACCCTATTCAGTTTCTCTATCCTGTAAAGCAGAAAGCATTTCAGAATTTTGGTGTATTATATGGCTAGTAGCTTCAGTATATTTGTCTTGCTGTAATCATTAGAATAATAAAATATGGAAGGGACCTCCGATGGTTGTTTGAATCATGTTCCAGTTCAGACCATGGTCACCTCTGGTGTTTGGTGAAGTTGGTAAGGGTGATATCCAGATGATGCTTGACTATCTCCAGAATATCTCCTCTCTGAGCAACCCTACACATTATGAAAGATTTTGTTTTTTGTAAGCTGATACCTAATTAGAGTTTTTTTGTCTCCAAGAGAAGAGTCTGTATCTGCCTTCTCTAATCACTTACTAGGTAGCTGAAGACTGATTAAAATGCCCGTTTAGCCTTCTGTTCTTAAAGCTGACCAACTCAGCTCTTTCAGCTTCTCCTTGTAAGTCACATGCTTCAATCCCCTAATCATCTTGATGGTTTTCTGAAGGATTTGCTTTGGTATGTCCATAGGAGTCCCAGTCTCTTAAGTGCCTGATCAAGGGGAGTAACTGCTTCCCTTGATCTGCTGGCTGTATTCTTGTCAACATAACATGCAGTTATCCCTCATCACCTTGAGGCTGTAGTGCTGATTCAATGGCTATTCTGTGTTTTGCTTTCATTAGTTCTTTCAGAAGACAACAGTCTCAACAAGGACAAGAAGAGGACTAGTTGTGAACCATTTAGAAAGAGACATCTGTCTACATGAGAGCTTTCCCTCTCTTGCCTCTCACAAAGCCAAGACAAGTGCAGCAAAGATGGGAGCCCTATGACTTAGTATATGCGTTGTTCAAAGCATCAGAAGCAGATTCTTCCTTGAGAATGTAAGGAAGCTGCTGCAGCAACACAGTGGAAAAATATGAGCCTGGTTCTCCAGACAGAAATTTGCACAGGTTGCTCTGAACCTAATGCAAGTCTCTCATCCCCTTTTGGGCCAAGAATCACTAATGGAGAAAGACTAGGGATTAATGTTTGATTCATCTTCTGGGACAAATATTTATGTTAAGCTTCCAGATAGTGTGGATAATACTATAAAGAAAAATCTTCAAGTCTTTGTGGTAGTGATGGAATTTCAAAGCTAAGGCACAGTGTGTTTTTTATATCCGTTCATGGCACTAATACTCTTATGTGTGTTTTATTTTACCTTGAAAAGAGAATCTTTTCATGAACGTTTTATCTTATTGCATTAGTTTTTTGTTTTACTTTTAAATATTTCTTAATTTCAATCCTTGTTTATTTCACAATTTAAGTGCCTGGGGAACTTTGACTTTCACTCCATGTTTGTTAAATGCTTGGAGTAGTTATATTAGTTATTTTTTGACTTTTATTTTTACAACTGCTCTAATTAATTTTAACTTGTTTTCTGCTTTACCGAGAAGGTTTACTGACAGTGAGGAAATAAGACTTTTTTTGGTGGAGCAGTGTATCATTGCAGCAAAACCTGGCATCCACCTAAAGCTAAGAAAATAGTCTGTTCCCTAGGGAAACTCCTAGAATTAGCTTTGGTTTTCATGTGTGCGGTGCACCCTCCTAGAGTGCCATTTAGTTTAGCTTGGCCTGAAGCAAAACGTTTCAGGATATTTTAGGAGATCCTGGTAATCTAACTAATCTTATGAAAATAATACTAAAATTCTTTCTTTATTTCCCTCTTCATGAAGTGTATGGCTTTACATATTTAGCATAGCTCTATTCTCACACTGTCCAGGAAGACTGTCAACTGTGCCATCATCCTGGATAACACCTGGCTTGGTGCCATTCCTACGAGTGCTGGGAGTTGGTGTCTGCTTTTGCCAGAGGCAGAGCAGATAGGGCAGCCCTCTGTGGCAATTTCCTCCCAGACCTTAGGGCTTTTCATTAAGAAAAGGTCAACTTTGTCAACACCAGCAAGTATTTGCTTCCTGTTATAGTGGTGAAGTCTATGACTTGGTAATTGTTCTCAAAACCTGTAGAGGTAAGAGCAAAGATAGGGAACCCCAATGCTTCTAACCCCTCTGTGGATGGTGTGAATGTGAATGGCCATTCAGTTCCCAAGGAGGGGAGTCAAGAGTTGGGCTTACCTTAAAAACTGATCTTCCTGACCTTGCAAGAGAAGGTGCTAGAATGCCCTGCAGCAGACAGGCAGGGATCCAAGCACCTTGGCTCTGTCTCACTGAGAGGCTGGTACTGCTGCGTGGTGGGTACTTGCATGATACATGTGCTCCAGCCCCTTCTGTGGCTTTTTTCAAATAAAGTGGAAATAATACAGCACTTGTAGGAAAAGATAATCAGAAATGTGAAAATAAAGCACTGTGTGTTTTTTAAGTTGCAAATGTTATGCTATTTTTATACATCTTCTTATCCCTAATGGATAGAGTAAGTATTTGCTGTGATGAGTACTTGGAGCTGGTTTTGGAGTGGCTTCCTTCTAAGCAACCTATTATTTTAGTTGTTTTTTCTTTTCCTATAATCAATTCAGATTTAAAAATACCAGGAAGAATAATATATTGAAAGCATATTGCTTTGGAATGCATCCCTAAATGAAGAAGGGAAATAATAATTTTACTTGAAGGAATTTGAAGATAATAAGGCAGGAGTGGGCCTTGCCTCTAGTTTTCCCGTGTTATCTGTCACTGATATAAATAACTCCAATCTGTAAGCATAAAAATACAGGTGTTTGAAAATGTGATAGTATGAGTCTGGTTGGATAATTTAAAAATTTCCTGTGTGCTTTGACATGACTTTCCACAGGAAAAGTGAGGCTGTTTTGTTGAAGTATAAATCAATTAAAAGTTAATACTATTTTTTTTTGGATAGGACATCCATCCTGAACTAAAATGTTTTTGTATTTCATATGTATGTTTAAGTAATTAAGAATCCACAAATTTCTTTCTCTTTGGCATCGGCTTCTGCAAGTCGGCACTCCCCGTATAAGGAGTTCAGATGATATTGTCTGTTGTTTAACGTGAGGATGAGGACAGATAGTATTTTATAATACATTATTAATCCTTTGTTCTGAGATATTTTAGAAGTTTTCATTAGAAGTAAAATATGTTACATGTTTACAGAAAGCCTGAAATCTATGTGGACCTATCAATTTTAATTATTTGAATCATTAGAACATCTAGTTTTTTTTGCTTAAGGATATACAAAGGTACTGTTAAATCTATTTTTTAAGATTTTTTTTTTTCCTCTTTAATGTCTGAATCCAAATTCATAAAGAGTTGGAAAAATGAGATGTCTGAGCTATAGGATTCACAGGGATTTCATATGAAGCCTATTTAATCAGGATAACACTGTTATTAATATTCATAAAGTCAGCTGGAACACAAATGACAGACTATAGGGGCCTAAAATTTTTTACTTGTGAATTTATTAAAAGCAGCTTAAAAAATTAATGGAATTTAAGTAAAGTTGACGAAAAAGAAAATCTTATGTTAGCAGAAAAAAATCTTTATTAGAACTTTGTCTAAGACCATCTCGCATTGATATCTTTGACAGGTTTCATTGGTACTTAAAGAAGAAAGATGCATGAATGGTCATTTAAAAGGATTTAAACACATTGGCACATTAATTTTTACATGAATAATAAGTAGTTTCCAAAAGCAATTAACTTACAGTGTACAAGATTTGAATAGGAAAATAGGACTGTGACATCAAAGGACAAAGCGAATGTGCTATACATTTTAAACTTTTAATAACGTGGCTTCTTAAAATCTATTCCATTTGCACAGGTCAGAGTAAAGATACCTATATATGGCTTTAGTTTTGAAGTATGTTAAGATGTGGACCAAAGAGATACTCTGAAGTGCTGTTGTTAGTTTAGCAGTGGTGAACATATCTGCTTGAATCTAGCTTTCTTTACTGTAAATCATTTCTGCATGGAAAACATGCATATACTGGCTTTTTTATTTTTTATTTTTTTCTTTAACACACATGGTTGTAAGTTTCACTGAGAAACATTAATTCCTTCTGTATTTTTTTTTCTGGGAGGAAAATAGGCAACCCTAGGAATTTCATGCTAGTAGTGGGAAAATATTGCTTGATTTATACTCATGCATATGGGAGCTTTTGTACTTAAATGTGTAGTGTCAGTTTTACATGGCTGTTCTATATATTTGCCAAATAAAAACGGTTTTTAGCTTTCCTTGCTTGATGTACAAATGGTAGTCTTTAACACAACCATAGATTGAAAAAATGGATAGTAAAAATGGATGATAATAATAATAATAATTTAATTAACTCTGGATTGTGGGTCACAGTTTCATTCCGTATCTTTGTGGGGTTTTTTTGTTGTTTTTGTCTTCCACCAATATAATCTATCTCCAGATAGACTTTATTCGGATTTTTATGTTAAACTGTATGTCATATCATAAATTGATTAGAAAACTGTTTAATTTGTAAATGTGTTTCAATAATGCCGGCGGTGTAGCAGATTATATTCAAATGAGAGTAAATAAAAGCTATAAAAATTCTATTTTTTTCTGAGGATTCCTCCTAGGAAGACCTTCATGATCATGATCAACTTCTGATTTTTGATTTGGCAAAGTTTTTTTTTGTTGTTGGTTTTTTTTTGTTTTTTTTTTTTGAGAGAGAGAGGAAAACCTGTATCTAGACTCATTGTATACCCATTGAAGTATGCATCCAGTGTATCTAACTATCTAACTTGTGTTTGCATTCAGAGTAACATAGCCATTTAGTGCATGGACTATTTTTTTTACTCTCCTTAATTATGCTTTATTTCTAATAATAATAGCAGAAGCACCCCAAGAAACTTAATCCCAAAGGGTGATTCTGTTTTATGTTGATTAATAGGTTGCCTAATCTGTTTGCAACAGTATTTTTATTTTTAGGTTTCTGAAAAGAAGAACAATTACAATTAATTAGCAGAAAATCTTTCATTTTGAAGACCACAAAGTCTCCATTTCTGTTTATTATTCACTTGTTATATTCTATTGTTTCCAAGAGAGGGCAGTATTTTCCTACAGCAGGTACATAAAAGGACAAGCCCTGCTTAGACTGTCAATGTTTCTTGTAATTACTCCCAGTATATTTGTTGCTTGCTTATGAATTAACTTGCATTTATGGAACTAAATCATTCCAATCATTTAATTACACCTGAGGAGCTGAACTATAATTGCTTGCTTCCAACTAGGATCTGATATGGCTTGAGCAGTATTAATTTGGTGTTTACTTTCCTGAGTGCTAAAAGCATTAAAATGATTGTGCAATGGGATTACATTTTACTAATTGCTGGCATTCATTAGCTGGGTAAATGGCGAGGAAGAATGACTGTATATTGTGCAGGGATAAAATTATGGTTTTAAATAGTACATTACTAGGCACATTAAGGCCCTAAGACATGTTTTAAAATACTCCAGAGGTTATTAAATACCGTATTTTCTTCATGTCTTGCTATATGAATATCTTATTAAAATAGTGCAATTATTATGAACCTTTTTCTTCAATATGTA